TCAATTGAGTCACAACAGCCCCCGGACGTTTCCGTCGTCTGGTTCGGGGGTGTGACATGTTTACTAAGTGTGGTTATGGTATGTCAGTCAAAACAACTACTTTTGATAGGTCTTTTGGGTATTCTATGTTTGTAACATGATATTGCACTTACATGCATTATGGTTAATGGTAAAGTTACTTTGGTAATTAGTTTTTTGGCTATGTTACTGCACTTTAATAATCAACATTACACTTACATGCAATCAAATTGACGATTTCATTCCTTGCTAATATAATATCCATCACATTAAAACAAAACTTTAAACTTACATTACATATTATATCTGTTACATTTTCTTATCCCAACATTACATACAATCATAGGGAAAATCCTTCAAAAGATATAACAAAAATGGGACCAAAACACAGTTCCAAGTCACAGATTTCCCCCCAAAATGCTTCTTGAGTTTTTACTTGAAAAGGTAACACACCATGAAAAACAACCAACTCAGACAAAGTAACCATTTCACCATCATCAATCTTGCTTCGAGATTGTTTCTTCCACGCAACAACCCTGGAATCACAACAGTTGACCTAGGGCACATGGGAGGGTCGAACCATCCAAAAAAGTTGCATGTTCCTCCTAACCTTAAACATGACCATAATTGACGACCTGGGTTTAAATCGGTCCACGATGTCACCAAAATCGTCGGCTTTCCACAATGGCATATCACCATCTTCTTCAATTTTGGAATAGAATGTGAGTGGGGAGGGAAGAGCAGAGGCAAGGAACGAGAAATATAAGGATACAAAGGCAGACCTTACATTATATACTCTGATGTACAACCAGATGAAAAGACAAATTTACCCATTCACTAATGGTTTAAAAGTGACGGGGTTACGGTCAAGGACCAATTGCGCAATTAAATGAAACCTTAAGGACCATTTGCGTGACTTTTTGCTAGAAAGTCCTCAAAGTGCGATATTGTGTAAACCACAGGGACCAATCGTGAAATTTTGTCTTATTTTTAAATGAAACTAGGACCAAAAGTTAATATTTATAAATCATAGGGATGCAATCTATTAATTTTTAAAGTTAGAAACCAAATATATGAATGAAACGAAAGCTCAAGAACCATTTCTGTAATTTATTCTAAAACGAACATGAAACTATTTTTGAAAGAGGACACCTATCTACACTTGTTATGTTTTTAATAATGTTTCAATTGAATTGCCATCGAATGGTTTTGAATTTGTGGTTTATATTTTTTTTTTTATTTGGGTGCCTTTAAAATCCCCACGGAAATTTAAATACGGGGGATTAAAAGACAACCGAATAAAAAGTCAAAACCACTAATTTAAAACAATTGAAGGTAAACTTAATTAAAAAATCATTAAAAGTGTAATAATTAAACGACAATGTCGGTTTTTCAAAAGTATTTTCATGATTTTTGTAGAATAAATTAAAGAAATGGTCATTGAGCTTTGGTCTGATTCATAGTTTTGGTCCTAAGTACATCCCTATGATTTATAAATATTACAGTTTTGGTCTTTGTTTGATATAAAAATACTAACTTATTCTTCCTTTTTCCTTTTCATTTTTATTATTATTATTATTATTATTATTATTATTATTATTATTATTATTATTATTATTATTATTATTGTTATTTGTTCTTACATTTATTTATTCAAATTTGTTTGTAGGGTTTAAAAATCTTTTAATATTTTTGACGTTATAATCAAATATACAATTTAATATTTTTTTAAGTTTTGTTCGTTCATATTTTATATATATATATATATATATATATATATATATATATATATATATATATATATATATATATATATATATAAACAAATTAAAGTAGAACACCGGATAACTATCAAATATCAAATATAATTATTTAATTTTTTTTATATGTTTTTCGTTTACTTCATTCGTTTATATGTTTTACTTTTTTTATTCAGCTTTAAGACGTTTTATTGTTACTTTTTAAACGAATAATCTTTGATATAAGGACTTCACAAACGCCAAACCACGAATTTTTAATGGCACTGGAGGGGTGATCACTCTGAAGCGATGGATCGAAAAGGTGGAGTCGGTATTCGAGATATGCGACTGCCTTGAGCACATGAAGGTGAAGTTCGCGGCTTGCACTTTTGTGGATCAAGCGCTCACCTGGTGGAACGGACATGTAGAATCCATGACGCTCCCTGTAGCCAACTCTATGCCGTGGACAGAGATGAAAGAAATGTTAATGGCTGAGTACTGCCCACGAGGCGAAATACAGAAGATGGAGCAAGAGCTATGGAACCTCACTGTGCAGAACGCGAATATCGATGCCTACATATCGAGATTTAGCGAACTATCTCTGCTGTGCCCGGGTATGATCACCTCGGAAGGAAAGAAGATTGAGCGATTCATCTGGGGACTCACATCACCAATTCAAGGGAATGTGATAGCTGCAAACCCCGAAACATTTGATAGTGTGAAAAGATTGGTAAAAAGGTTGTATGACCATAACAGCAAGAAGGGAGAGAAGCCAGTGGAGGCTGAGAAGACGAAGGACGGTGATGGCAAGAGGAGAAAGAACAATAAAAGGAAGGGGCGCCAGGGCCCCGACACCTCCAAGAAGCAGCAGACAGTGGCGGTTAATGCTGTTACCACACCGGTCTCAGCCGCACCACATGCTCCAACCTCAGCCACTTCAAATGCTTCCAGACCTTATTCCGGTAATCTTCCCAAATGCAATAAGTGCGGCCTCCACCATCACGATGAATGCAGGGAACTCCATTGCACCAGTTGCAACCAAAGGGGACACACTGCAAGGTTCTGCAGGACATACCCTCCTCAGAACCAGAGTCAGGGAAACAACCAGAACAACAACAACAACAACAACAACTACCGCAATAATAACAACACCAATGCCGGCGGCAATAATGCAGGGCCTAGCCACACCTGCTTCGGGTGTGGAAGGACGGGGCATTTCCGCCGAGATTACCCTAACAACAACTCAGGAAACAGAGGAGCAGGAAGAATGCTGACTATGGGTCAGAGTGATGCAGTTCAGGACCCCACAGTTGTGACCAGTACGTTCCTCCTAAACCACACTTATGCATGCATCTTATTTGATACCGGAGCGGAGCGAAGTTTCGTGAGCGAGAAGTTTAAACATTTATTAAAGCAATAACCCCAGAAGCTAAATGAAACCTATACGGTGGAAATGGCCAATGGGAAAACCGAATCCACTGGGGAGATCTACATCGGATGTACTCTAACCCTTAACCAGCACGTTTTTCGAATAGACCTAATGCCAGTATCAATTAGGAGTTTCGATGTGATTATCGGCATGGATTGGTTAAGCCCCCACCATGCTGAGATTATGTGCCACGAGAAGGCCGTTCGCCTTCGTCTCCCGAATCACGAAACCCTAGTAATTTACGGAGACAAACCTAGTACGAATCTTCGTCTTATCTCGTGCATCAAAGCACAAAAACATCTGCGAAAGAACAATTTGGCGTTCTTGGCTCGCATAGTGGACAAGACCAAAGAAGAAACTAACATCCAGGATATTCCGGTAGCGTGTGAATTCCCGGACGTGTTTCCTGAAGATCTTCCTGGAGTACCCCCAGAGAGACAAGTTGAGTTCCGAATCGACCTTGTTCCAGGAGCGACCCCTCTCGCTAAATCACCATATGGGTTGGCTCCTGCTGAAATGCAGGAATTGTCCAGCCAACTCAGTGAGCTTCTGGACAAGGGATTTATCCGACCTAGCTACTCGCCATGGGGAGCTCCGCTGCTCTTTGTCAAAAAGAAGGACGGATCTTTCAGAATGTGCATCGATTACAGAGAGTTAAATAAACTCACTGTTAAAAACCGCTACCCACTCCCACGAATCGATGATCTATTCGACCAGCTCCAAGGAGCGAGTTATTTTTCTAAAATAGATCTACGGTCCGGATACCACCAACTCAAAGTCCGAGAAGAGGATATTCCTAAAACCGCTTTCCGAACCCGCTACGGACATTATGAATTCATCGTAATGCCCTTCGGTCTAACAAATGCACCTGCCGCATTTATGGACCTAATGAATCGAATCTGTCGACCGTTCCTTGACAACTTCGTCATTGTATTTATCGATGACATCCTCGTCTATTCTCGAAGCAAAGAGGAGCATGGCCAATTATTATATTTTTTTTATCTTTGATTATTTTCATATAAATATTTTGTTTTAATTTCTATACTGATTAAGCTCGTATTAATCTACGATTATTCCTTAACCGATGGGGTAAGTTAAATGACCATAAATATAAATATAGTTATGTGTACATAAAATATTAATTGAAATAGTTAATAAGATAATAAAAATCTTTTTAGGTCGGATTAAGCGTACAACAAAAAGATCTAATAGGGACTGTCCGAGTTAAGAAAAAATTTAGGGACCTAACTTGTATATTACCCCAAATCATAGGGACCATTTATGTGCGTGTGTATATATATATATATATATATATATATATATATATATATATATATATATATATATATATATATATATATATATATATATATATATATATATATATATAATGTGTGAAAAAGTTGAAGTATCAATATATACTAAATTAAAGTAAGAAGGACTAAAAATAAATTTTTTTAAATAGAAAAGGATATAAAGTAAATATATATTTTAACTATAAGGATAAAAATGTTAAAATTATTGAATTTATATAAATTGATTGTTTGATAAGGTTGGAATAAAATCAAAACACCGTATTTATTATTTTAAGTCACATTAAATTAAATTATTTTACCAAAGTCAAAATCAAAATAGTTTTTAACGGTGTTTTTTACCCATAAATCGGGTGCTAATAGCAACACCCGAAGACGACGGCACCTTTTATGAATGGGTCAACTAGACGACTCATGCTCAAACTCCTCGCATCAAACACGTGCGCACAGGAGCGTGCAATCAAAACACTCATTTCCTCCTCCGACCTTCTTGTCTCCATCGATTTTCCGCAGCTTTAATAAAATGAGATGCGACGAACGACTGAACGAGTCCTCCCTGCCAAACACGGTGGCCGGATCTCACATTCCTCGATCCTACGTTCTTACATCTTTTGCGCTCCATAACTCGACACAGAAGCAGCCAAATCATGCAATTATTTGAGAATGATGATATTCTTCTCAGAAAAAGCTTTAGCAGATCAGAAAATGCGGTAACTCCGCTCATTTTACCACCACCATCCGACCACCACCACCACCACCGCCTCCACCCATCCAGAATGAAGAACATATACCCAACTCCGCTCAAATCGACAAAGAGAAAACAGACAAACAAACCCCATAATTGATAACGAAAAGGAAGAGAAAACAAGAAAAAAAGTTTGTCGCTTTGGGTATTCCCACCAAGATCTCATCTGGGTTGTGTTTCGTCAGATGTTTTAGGGTTCGGGGTGTACCATTTTTGAATGAATTAGATCGATTCAAAGAACATAAAAGAAAAAAATCACGAATTTCAAGTTTTGTTTGGAGAGATAAGTTAACAAGAGAGGATGAATATATTGTGGAAAGACCTAGGGATTCCGACAGATTCATTCCATGAAGTTCGAGTTGAATGCACCGATGTTCCTAAAACCAAATTTAAAATCAAGGTAAACTCATCTTTATATATATATATATATATATATATATATATATATATATATATATATATATATATATATATATACACCAATCAGTTTTACTATTTGCTAAAAGTTCTTTTTTTGATGTTGGATCTACGAGGAAGACGACGAACATGTTTAACATTACAAATTGGAATTTGATTTATCCTAACGTTTTAAATTGATTCTGTTTAAGGCTTCTAATTCGTAAAATGTTTATCTAGTCGGGGAAGACTCTTAGTGTAAGGAAGTAGCAATCAGCATTCAGTCTAGAAGGTCATCTTGATATAGGCCAAACCCTTGGTCGAATTTATCGTGGTGTACGTTTTTATTTTCCCAACCAAATTACTAACGTAAATTTGAAATTTCTATTAAATGTGTACTTAATTTGACATTTTTTGTTGAATCGTTGATATAAATCAGGGGATACATCCAACAATCAGAGGAGAAGTATGGGAATTTTTACTCGGTTGTTTTGATCCAAAGAGTACATATGAGGAGAGAAAAGAGATACGCCTAACAAGAAGGTTTTAAGTATTTTCTCTTTATAATTCTTTTTTTATGATGATCACTTATATATATATATATATATATATATATATATATATATATATATATATATATATATTCGTTTTTATGATTTTAGAGAAGAATATGGAAGACTAAAAGAATTATGCCCATACATGTTTCCACTTGTTGGAAGTGGCAAGTTTATAACTGCTCCTGTAATAACAGAAGATGGAACCCCAACCTAAGATCCAATATTGCTTCTAGAAGCAAACCCTGAGAAACTTATGACACCAACAACTCAAGCAACAAGTAATCTTTTTTTCCCCTTTTGACAAATGTCACAAATTAATAGTTGTTTAAACGGTTTTACACTTTTACTAATGCATACATTTCATATATTGTAGTTAATTCAGGCAAAGAAATATCTGTCCCAAAGGAAGAAGACAATAAGATAATCCAGTGGAAACTTACCCTACATCAAATAGGTTGATATATAAAGATTCCATCATGTACATGTTTTAAAATCATTTCATTTTCAAGTTTCAACATTGTTGAATCATTATAATGTAGTGTTTTTTTATCTTTGGATTTTACTATTTATAATAGGTCTTGATGTGGTTCGAACAGATAGGACACTTGTGTTTTATGAAAAACAGGAGAACTTGTCAAAATTGTGGGATGTTCTTTCCGTGTATGCTTGGTTTGATAAAGAAGTCGGTTATGGTCAAGGTGGATGTTGATTTGATCATTAAAATTTTTCTTTTTCTTGAAGGTTTTTTTTATTATTATTATATTTTGTAACACCCTTTTGAAAATGGTATGTGAAAGATTCTAATTATGATTTGTATGTTTTGTAAACTTATCAAAACAGGAATGAGTGATCTTTTTACTCCTATGATTATGCTTCTTGAAGATGAAGCAGATGCATTTTGGTGCTTTGAACGTTTAATGCGTAGATTGGTGTGTGTGTGTGTATATATATATATATATATATATATATATATAGTTAACCTAACGTATTATCATTTCTAAAGCTATGAGTAATGACTTAATGATTGTATTTCAAGAAATTAAATGTGATTTTATTTATGGGTTTGAAGAGAGGGAATTTCAAATGCGGAGGGGTATCTGTTGGGGTTGAGTCACAACTTTGCAATTTAGCAAATGTTATTCAAGTTGTTGACCCTAAGCTTCATCAACATTTGGGTACTTTCTTAATAAATTTTTAACTTTTTTACATTTTCTTTTTATAATAATAAAAATGCTAAAAAAAACTAATATTAACACGAATGCAGATCACCTAGGTGGTAGTGATTATTTATTCGCATTCGGAATGCTTATGGTTTTGTTTAGAAGAGAACTTTCTTTTGGTGATTCTTTGTATTTATGGGAGGTAATAAATAATAATAATAATAATAACCTTATAAAGACATCAAACTTTATTCAGACAAACATCATTATTCATTCAGCCACTTTACTCAATACATGACTTAATGAATTTGAAACAGATGATGTGGGCTTTGGAGTATGATCCTGATCTTTACAATTTATATGAGGAACCCGATTCTGATAGACCTGAAGATGCTAAAGCAAAACCAAAATCATCACGACAATGTGGCAAATTTGAAAGGGAAATTTTGAGAAGTGGGGCTAAAGATGAAGAAACTCTCCCCATTTCTGTGTTTCTTGTTGCAAGTGTCCTCAAGGAGAAAAGTGTCAAATTGCTCACAGAAGCCAAGGGACTCGATGATGTTGTCAAGGTCAAACCTTTTTTTTGTTTCATTTCTTAACAACACAAAAGTTTCCTTCAACATTTTCATCATGATGATGTGTTTATTGATTGATTGATTCATCTTTTTTTACAGATATTGAATGACACTTCTGGGAATTTGGATGCTAAGAAATCTTGCTCGGGGGCTATGAAACTTCACAAAAAGTATCTGAAAAAGGTATAAACTTGTTGGTTCTTGATGGATTGTTATAAAAAGTGTGGGATTTTTTTGGTTTTTTGATGAATGTTGGTTGCGTTTTAGGTGAAATTGGAAAAGGCAGCTTCATAACAGGATGATGAGTTTTGAGTGTTTGACTTGTGTTAATGAGGAAAGATAGAGGTTGGAGACAATTTTTGTTTGTAATTTGTAAAGACTACTAATGTATGTTGTTTACAATTACAGTCGATTCTTATTGAAGCAATGTGTATTAAACTATATATTGTATTTTGTATATGTGAAACCATGAAGATGACTAAATTATACAATATATTTTTTTATGAATAAAAGAAACTTCTTATCAACTTTGTTTGTTACTTGTATAATTAATGTGATATCAGTGAAACATGAATTAGTTAAGAAGAATTCATCTTTCGGAAACTTAACTCCGGATTTCATATTCGAAAACATTAAATTAAACTCTTCAATGTTGCAACTTATAGCATAACGAATCCAACTGTTGAGTTGTGATTCAAATCGAATATCATAAGTGGTGTGCACTCTGAATTTCTTGAGCTTCATTTGGCGACATTGAGGTAGGGTTTTGCTGACCATCAAAATGAAATCCGAACCAGATTGATTAACAACATTTCGTTGAAAATTGACAAGTCCATACATGTTCCTATCGTTTGGAGAGTGTACCTGTTCTTATGGCGCATTTTGTAGAAGGTAAACGAGAGAGGAATTCAAGAAGCAAGCGATCTGGTAACAGACTGATTTGATCTTCTTCCACCTCCTCCATAATTTTATCAAACTTTATTTGTTTTGGGGCAATTTTAAGTTTTTGTCCTTCTACCATTTCAATAGTTGCAACCGAGCTCTCATCAATTCCCCACATGAGATATACAAAACTCAAATCAGGGGGTGTTTGGGATAGCGTTTTAAACTAAAAAGTCCTTTTTAGAAAACAACCTTTTGATTTATTTCTTTTTCCAAAAAAAGTTTTAAAATGTGTTTATGTAAACTCTTGAGGGTGCAAAGGGAAACAAGCCAAATGTTGGTAAAAGTCACATATTCGTAACTTCTTAACCACCTCATTTTTGTTCTTCTCAAAAAATCAATTTAAAAGATCTTTTGAAGTTACCAAAAAACTTTTTAAACTTTTGACTTTTTAAAAAAGCCAAAAGTAAAAAAAAGGAATGTCAAACACCCTCTAAATACAAACATTTCGTTTTGACCCCTACACTTTGAAAATAAACATTTCGTTCCTATAAAAAGTTCCTTATGTTATGTTTCTTTCTTTTTTGTTTTTTTGTTAGTTTTCTAAGGGGTTAAAGTCTGTATTACCTTCTAAAAGGAGCATGACTTGTTATAGCCCGTTTTTATTGATAACGTAGCATTTTCTTTAGCAAAAAAAAAAAATCAACGCAGCCTGTTGCTCAGCCCTATGCGAAAATCCATGCCTTTCTTCGTCAGACAAGTAAGGGGTACAACAACCTTGGAGAAATCGTGAATAAATCTCCGATAATATATTCCTAAACCTAGAAAGCTTATGATTTCCAAAGGAGACTTTGGGACCTCCCACTGCATAACAACCTCAGTCTTAGTAGGGTTGAACAGAATCCCATTCTGGTTAACGAGGTGTCCTAAGAACTGGACCTACAGTAACCAAAACTTACACTTCGAGAACTTGGCATAAAGCCTCTCCCGTCTCAAAACTCCTAGAAGCTCTCGAAGGTGCTCCTCATGCTGCTCCCTGGTCTTAGAATAGACCAGGATATCATCGATAAAAACAATGACCGAACGATCAAGCATTGGCTTGCACACTCGATTCATCAAATCCATAAATTCCGAATGTGCGTTGGTGAGCCCAAACGGCATCACCACGAAATCATAATGACCATAACGAGTTTCAAAACACTGTGTTCTCTAAATCTTCATCTCTAACCTTCATCTGATGATACCATGACCTTAAATCAATCTTGGAAAACCAAGATGCACTCTGCAGCTGATCAGAGAGATCATCAATCTTTGGAAGTGGGTAACGGTTCTTCACCATCAACTTGTTCAACTCCCAATAATTGATACACATATGGTGAGACCCATCCTTCTTCTTCACAAACAAGATCGGTGCTCCAAAGGCGAACTGCTCGGTCTGATAAACTGTTTGGTAAACAGCTCCTGAAGCTAAGAGGACAACTCATGCATCTCTAATGATTCTAATCGGTATGACGCCTTAACAATCGGGGCCGCACCAGAAATCAGATCAATCTTGAACTCCACTTACCTTGCGGGAGGCACACCGGGTAGTTCATCTGTGAATACATCTGGGAACTCTCTGACTATAGGTACAACTAAAACTAAAACCCCCTTCTCTACCTGAGTGCCAATTACATAAACATGATATCCTAAACATCCATGTTTTAGATATTGTTGAGCCCTATCAGCAGAACAAAAGGCTGATCCAACATTGGTACTCGCCATAAATAATCAGTTCTCCCCCACTTGGGGTTTGAACTACAACTCGCTGCCCCTCACGATCTATCATGTCAACAAATTTGCTAAACTAATCCATCCATATTATCATACATACATCCCTCATAGGAATAGGGATCAAATCGATTGGGTAAGACACACAGAAAATCTGCAAAGTACAATCCCAAAAAAATGCTTGATGCAGAAATCCCATGCTTGTTGGTGATAGAAAATCGCAACAGGCACTCCAACTCTCCAAGAGACATATCAAAACTCATACTGAAGGAACGAGACACAAAAGACCGACTCACACCCGAGTCAAAAAGGACAAGAGCAGGCAAGGAGTTCATTAAGAAGGTGCCTAACAGAAAAACAATCATAAGCATACAAATAAATATATCAACATAATAATAAATGGAAACATACCAGTAGTTACATCCAACGCCGCCCTGGCCTCCTCTCCCGTGAGCAGGAAAGCATGACCTCGTGCCCCCGGGGGATCCGCTCTGCCCTGGCGTCTATTCGTAATCCTTAGAGTAGTCGGGGATGGAGGCTGCACTGGTCTTGCAGCAAGCAATGAGCAATTTGCCTTCACATGGACAACCTGATCACAATGATAACAAATCCTGGTGCTCAGTACTATGCCCTGCTAATGAAAATCCTTAAAATATGGCCCTACCCGCCATATTAGTGGCACCCAGAAGAAAACCGACCAACACCCTCGTGAACCTTGTCGCACTTACCACAAGTACATCCCCTATACCCCCTAGATTGTGAATCATTGGGCTAGAACCACTTCACTATAGGCTATGATTGAACGGTAGCCTACCTCTGCTCCCTCATCTGAGTCTCAATATCAATCTCTCGTTTCCATTTGACATCATGAAGCTCAGAGAGGGTACTTTAATGCTGGGTAGACATAAACTTCCGAATGTTAGTCTTGAGCATGCTAAAGTATCGCGGCATCTGAGCCTACTCTGTAGTAGCATCCTCAGGACAAAAAACAACCCTTTTAGTAAACATCTTGGTGATCTTCGTGACCAAATTCGTCGTCTACCTCAAATCCAGATACTCTTGATCCAACATCTCCCTCTCCACCAGGGGAACATACCTAATACGAAACTGAAAGGTTTTGAGCATTCTAACACTCCTATGATGTACATGCAATCCTGGAAACCTTGGATCTATGTTTTCTATAAAATACATGCAAATAATAATTTTCCAAGGTTTACTTCCTAACTAGCATGTTATGGGGTACTTGAATCATAAAACACTAATAGAATTACATACCTTTTATTTGTGGTTGATTGCTTAGAGTTTGAGAGCCTAGCACCAATAATGTGGATGCCTCAAATGGAAGTCACAATTCACCACAAACTTTTGAAACTTGAGATAGTAGTAGAACACTTCAAGAAAATTTCCACCTTTAGTTCTCACATTCACTAGTGTCGTTTCAAGTGCCAAGGACCCCTTTATATAGTGTGGTGGGTTAGGGTTACATTCATGTAAACCCTAATACCCATTACCTTTCATTTCCATACGATCCATGGGTTAAAGCTCCATGGACTTTCCATGCAAGCCTAGCCCATTCTAAATAAGCATTAGTCCACAGTATAGAAATACAAGAGCCCATATGTAATTAGTCACCCTTTTGATCACCAAATTAATCCTAAATTAATTTTAGACGAATACTAATTAAATAATATGATTTCATTTTAATATATTAGAACTTATAATATATTAATATCATAACTTATACTATTCTCAAAGGATTATCCATATAAAATGTTCGGGTGAAGTGCAACCCAAACGGTCCATATCGGGTCGGGTCAAGTACATCTCAAATATAGTTATGGACTCAGACACCTTATCCAACAATCTCCCACTTGGATAAGTCTAATAATTATAGTTGCAAGCATGAATTCAGGAACCGAGCATCAATCGTAGCTCTTATAACTCTGTTGAACTATGAAGCGCCATTTTAGATAAGGGATCACATAATCCTTTGTTCTAGATATCATCCAGACAAATACATGGAACAATGTCTTACTTATTGTCCAACGGTTTGTTTCCCGATTTCCGATTTGTTTGACATAGTACTTAATCGAACACATTAATTTAGTTCTGATGGGGCCCAGTACATAGGTCAAAAAAAATCATCGAGGGGCCCATATATCTCTTCTAATCGTAGAAGGAACAGATAAACTTCGACTCATATGCTTGTTCTACTATTTGTTGAATTATATATAAAGATGCGTTTTATGACATCAAGTTACTAATGCGTTTTCGTACAATCAATGCATAACCATCTCATAGGCAACAAATCATATCTTTAGGTTTGAAGACTTATTTGATATTACCGTCTCACGATCACTTGAGAGAAATTCCATGAAGTGATACAAGTGAGCGCGGGTTTAATCCAATACTCATAACTTATGAGCACTCATGAATGTTGTAGCAACTCTTGCTATGTCCAACACTTTAGACATATACAAGATAACTTCATGACAATCTTGATTCATACCTACTTCCTATATATGACAGATTGTGGAGAATTTGAATAATACGATAGACCATAACATAATTATTCTGGAAGTCAAAACATACAAAATAAAATGATAGAAAATGATTGACAGAAGACGACAACACTTTACTTATAAATAAACAACTTTTTTTATCATCAAATGTCAATTATACTTTATAAATTTCAGAGCTATCTAATCTGTAAAACTAATATCGTCCTTCAGCCCGATGCGCCTTGCATGCTGCAAATGCCTAACCCTAGTTAGTCCCTTCGTGAGGGGATCTGCTAGGTTCTCTTCTGACGATATCCTCTTTGCTACAAGGAGTCCTTCTTCTATCTTATATCTTATGAA